AAATGTTTGGTAACAGGCTCTTCAATCTAGCAAAGAAAGGTATAACAATTCAATGGCTGGAAGCTAAACAAATTCAGATGGGAAATAAGGTGTACATTTTTAACAGTGAGGATAATTAACTCTTGGAACAATTTACCAAGAGTTGTGGTAGATTCTCCATCCCAGGCATTGGATATTTTTCTGAAAGAGATTCTCAAACAGGAATTAATTAAGGGAAGTTCTATGGCCTGTTATGGAGGTCAGTCTAGAGTGATCCCTTCTGGTCTTGGAATCTATGAAACTATTAACGGCCAGATTCTCAGCCCTGTTCAATGCAAGGCAGCTTACATAGACCTAACTCTGAGTGTCTACACTAAAATGTCTCTCCCACCGATGTAACTTGCGCGCTGCGCTCACTTAACTCCACCTCCATGAGAGGTGTAGTGCTTAAGTTGGTTTAATTCGCTCAGTATTAATGTAGTGTATGTATGTAATGTAATGTAGACACTGCATTACATACATCGACTTCAGTGGCTTCCAGGCAGTGTCCTCCAATGCCTCAGCATGACCACTTTGGTCACTGTTTTGAACTCCGCTGCCCACTGGCCAGGTACACTTCTCTCCCCTTTAAAGCCCCATGAATTTTTGAAATTTCATTTTCTGCTTGCTTGGCATGGAGAGGTCACCTAGCAACTGCCCAGCTGACCATACTGGCTACACGCTGCAGACGCGCTTCTGCCTGGAGTGCACAGGAGGTGGTGGATCTGTGAGAAGAAGAGGCTGTGCAGGCACAGCTCTAATCCAGCTGTAGAAACATCATTATTTACAAGCAGCTCACTTGGGGCATGGGGGAGAAGGGCTATAAGAGGGACCCACAGCAGTGCCATGTGAAAGCCAAGGAGCTGCGACAGGCGTACCAGAAAGCCAGGGAGGCTAACAGTCATTCTGGTGCAGAGCCACAGACCTGCCACTTTTACAAAAATCTGCATGCCATCCTTGGTGGAGACACCACCCCACCCCCAAGAGCACCATGGATACTTCAGGAAGCCCAATTCACAGACCCCAGCTGTGAACAGTGAGGAGGAGGAGTATGGGGGACAGGCGACCGGGGGAACCAGTGGCACAGCAAGCCAGGACCTGTTTTTTGGCTCCTGGGCAGTCCCTACAGTCCAGCACAGGAGAGCCTGTTACAAGGGAAGGAACCTCTGGTAAGTATACAATTTGCTTTGATATTGCAGGGACACATCCGTTCATTTTACCTTTTTTTTAAAACTTATGCTAGAAGAGGTAGTGAAATCACCAGTAGAGTGAGAAGCAGATTGTCTAACTATAGAGGGGAAGTAGAGCTGCTGAGGCGGTTCTGCAGAATAGTTTTTGTGTGTACCAGGTTGTCCCATGAATCCTTCATAGAGATCTCAAGGAAACTTTTGTGAAGGCAGTCTGCAATCCTCGGCCAAAGGTTTCTGGGGAGGACTGCCTTATTTCTCCTGCCGTGGTAGGACACTTTCCCAAACCACTCAACAATTATTTCAGCAGGCATCTTGCAGCGTGCAGGCTAGCAGCATATGGCCCCGATCTACAGCCGGATGCCTGCAGGAGCTATTCCCTTTCACCTGCTGTTACCCTCAGCAGTGGAAGTTCAGCTAAAATCCCCACCACCTGTGGAAAACAGTGCCAGTATTCAACTCAGTTGTCCTATACTCATGCCTGTGAACTATCCCCGCTGCTTATTTTCCCAACGTACTGACCCTCCGTCACCATCGCTGGGACTGCCGCTCTGCTTTATGAATCCCAAAGAGAAGTGAGAATGTAGTGCTTACAACTTGTGTGGATAAAAGGGAGTGAATGCAGTATACCAAGTTTCAATTTATCTTGTGAATACACTCACAATAGTACCTCTGTGCATGGTAACTTTTGCAGCTGGAAATGTGGCCTTGAGGATCTCTGCATCCGCACCAGCAGAGTGGCACAGCCAGATAATGAGAAGGAAGAGGACGCAGGATGGCATGTTCCAAGAGATCCTGCAAGCCTCTGCTGCTTTCGATAGCCTTGCAGACAGCATGGATAGGGGTAGAGTGGAAAAGAGAACAGAGAGGGACACGCAGCAGCAGATGCTAGCACTTTTCAAGCAGCAAACAGACATGCTGTAGACTCTTGTGGACCTTCAGGTTCAACAGTTCCATGCTCGCCTCCCTCTGCAGCACATAGAGAACTGCATTCCATGTGGCATCCGGGGTCACTGCACTATGCCTACCACTCCACCCTGGGGGAGAGTGCAGGCAATCATAGCAGCACATGCACTGACCTGTGAGACACATGGTTGGTGTACGTGTTTGTGAAATGGAAATGACTGTTCTTTCTCCTTCAACAGTTCTTTCCCCTGTATTTATAAAGTTTAATTCAATTATAAACATGTCTGTTTGCATGGGTTTGTAATAAAAGTCTATTTATGGAAACTTAATTCATCTTTATTAATTTACAGCACATGCTGGTTGGGGCTGACATCATTCACAGTTAATAGCAATAGCTGCATATGCAATGTTATATTGCTACACACACGGCACTCATTACAAGGTTCATACTGGGGTGCCAAAAAGCAATGCAAGGCTGAGCACGTTAAAACAGCACACATAACCGTGGCTCACTATTAAAATGGTATTTCAAAGCCTCCATGAGCTGTATAGCTCCATATTGAGCTCTTCTTATAGCTCTGGTATCTGGCTGCTCAAAATCACCAGACAACCACTTCGCTAAGGCAGAAACTTCTCTCCCTTTGTTTCACAAATATTATGAAGGACACAGCAGCCAGCTATAACCATTGGGATATTTTTTTCACTGAAGTCTAATCTCAAGAGTAGACAGTGCCAGCGGCCTTTCAAACAGCCAAAGGCACATTCAACTGTCATTCTGCACCTGCTGAGCCTGTAGTTGAAGCGCTCCCTTGCAGCTGTCCAGGGCTTCGTGAGTCACAGGAGTAAGGGATCACTATTGGCATTTCAACATCCGCAGTGATAGTCCTCTGGTCTGGAAAGAAAGTCCCTGCTTGCAATTTTCTGAACAGGCCTGTGTTCTTAAAGATGCATGTGTCATGCACCTTCCCTGACCAGCCCACACTGATGTTGGTAAAATGTCCCCAGTGATCCACCACTGCTTTCAGTACCACACAAAAGTAGCCCTTTCTGTTGGTGCACTCTCTGGCAAGGTGGTCTGGTGCCAGAATAGGGATGTGTGTGCCATCTACTGCCCCACCGCAGTATGGGAACCCCATTACTGCAAAACCATTCACTATGTCCTGCACGTTGCCCAGAGTGTCAGTCCTTTGTAGCGAGATGTGATTAATGGCCTTGGACACTTGCATCACAGCAACCCTCACGGTGGTTTTCCCAACTCCAGTTGATTCCTGACTGATTGGTAGCAATCTGGTGTTACAAACTTCCACACAGTGATCGCCATCTCGCTTCTCCACTGTCAGTGCAGCTCTCGTTATGGTGTCACTGAGCCGGAGGGCAGGCGAAAGCTCTGCACGCAGATCCAGAAACGTGGCCTTGCACATCCAACAGTTCTGCAGCCACGTTTTGTCATCCTAAACCTGCATGACAATGTGATTCCACCAGTCAGTGCTTGTTTCTTAGGCCCAGAACCGGTGCTCCACCATCTTCAGCTGCTCTGTGAACACAGCCAACAACCTTGAATTATTTTTTCCTGTGTCCCACAGCAATCTAGCCTCTAAGGAATCGTCATGTCCCCCACGGCTCCTCTGGTGACACTGCAAATACTGCAGGATCAGACATCCCTTACTTGCAACACTCTTCATAGTAGTAAAGAGCTGTGCAGGATCCATGCTTCTTCTCACTCAGATGGCATGCACACAGGTTTATGGGGCTTTAGAAAAGAGGCAGGAAACATTATGCGATGGAGAAAACTGCATTATGGAATGTTGAAATCATGTTCCCAGGCACCCCTGTGCAACTTGTTTGCCCCCATGAGTTATTGCAAACCTTCCCAAAACAACCTGCACGAGGGGGTGGCAGGTTGCACAGTGGGATAGCTATGCACGAGTGTACTGCTCTCTGCACTTATATTGATGCAGGTAGTAAGGAGGTGCACTGCTGACACAAAGAGTGTGGACACGCAAAAGTGATTTTAATTACTGTGGTGTCTGTACATCGACATAACTTATGTCAACATAATTTTGTAGTGTAGACATACTCTCTGAAAAATCAGGCTCATTGTAGTAATCCCTCTTTTGCATCATAACAAATATTTTTGAAGTCATCTTATTAAAACGAAATAAAACATAAATGCCGTCATCCTTACAGTCCCAAAGCATATGCACGCCAAACTGAAAATGGGTAAGGAAACAGACGTTGATTTCAGATTTTAAAAGGATCATTATAAAAAGCCAGTGAATAAAACCGTTTTAACATACTTGGAAATGCCTTGAAAATCCACTTTATGGGTTGAAATTATTTTGATGGTTAAAAATTTCTGCTTCCTTTGAAATACTTTGTAGCTTGCTAAAAATGTAAAAATTCATAGGGGGGGGATATCAACTTAAAACTTGTCTATGGCAAAGATGATATAAAATAGGTATTTTTAGTGTATATATGTGTGTATGTCTCTGACAAAAGACTGTAAGATTTGATTTCTTTTGGATTTTCTTCCTCAGCATTGATTTGTAGGCAGTAACAGAAATTGTGAATGTAACAGAAACCAGAGTGTAATTCAAATATTAGTCAGAGGATGGCCTCCTTGGGTAGCACTACACTTGGTTCTGCTATGCCTGGCACGATATTAGCCAGGTTACTTTATCCATGGAACAAACAGGATTGGGCCTTATGTACATTGCTCTTTGATGTTCCATTTGTTTCCCTGAATATACAGTTGTGGCAGCAACAAGTAAACAAACTCAACAGGACTTTTGGTTTAGCAATACGAATATGTAAGGTTTTAATGAAAATCTTCTCTTCCCAAATGCCAATTGCAGAGCTATTTTATAAACTCTCTTCTGTCTTCCTTAGGATTTACAAATCGAGCGAGAGAGGACTGTTTACAGTATATCTGGTGGCTGCACAGCCCTTGTTGTTGTGTATATGCTGGGGAAGCTCTACGTGGCAAATGCTGGTGACAGTAGGTAAGCAAAGCGGATCTCTAGGCTTTTTTGCCTAAAAATAATTATTTCCTTTGCAACAGGCAGTTAGCAAAGTAGCTCAACGGGGCCCTGCTCCTTGGTTGGAATACATCTCAATTCATATAAGAGTAGTAATAATATGCCTTACTGTTTATATTGAACAGTTGCAATAAGTATTTCATAGAAACTAAAACTAACATAAGCCCGCTATTCAGATAAGAGTGGTGTTTAGAGAAGTTGAATTTTCTGCCGTTCCTTATTAACAGGCTCTAAATGACTCAGTGGCTCTTGTGCAGTGTGAAATAAAAATCATTTACTGTGTGTTCTAGTGGAAGTTTTTTATTAACCACTGTTTGAAATGGTTCTGTATTTGTTTATGAGAATTGAAAGAACGTTTTGAACTAGAAGTTGCTGTTGTCCCCCAGCCTAGTCTTGGAGGATCTCCTAGCTAATTCTTGATGGGTTCAGAGCCAGTCAGTTATGACAGATTTGGTTAGTGCTTTTGTAACTGGGCATATGAACAGCTTAGGATAGAATTAAATAAATAAATCCTGATTCAGATATTCACCTACCCCTCAGATTGAAACTTGATGGACTCCTTGGAAATTCAGGTCATTTAGCTACCCCCTTTTATTTAATAATGATGATAATTATAAAATGTTGGCCACTGGAAATATCACCGAGAAAAAGCTGTTTTTCAAGTCTTCTGAGTAAGTCAAAACCAGGAACATACTGGAACACTCTCTCTTTCCTCCCCACACGACCCCCCAGAGAGAGAGAGAGAGAGAGACTGTTCTTGTAGATTTCCAGTCTTTTTGCTGTTTGTGCAGCAGCTCTGTCATATTGGGAAAGAAGAACAAACTGAGAAAAGTAGGGAGGAGAAGAAGGCTGTTCTCTGGGTGGTATGGAGCAAGACTTCATAAGCCTGAAAAGGGGAGTAGGCAGCCCTAATATTAGACAGAAAGTCATTAAAAGAAGAAAAATGTATCTATACTTCTGTGTGTGCACACGCATGCTGGTGAGTATATATTTTTCACAATTTCATTATGTATATGCCTGTAGTGACTAAGATAGTGAGAGAACAGCTGTGGTGCTGCTCAGAAGCTTTAGATTTTGAAGGGGGCAGCAGGCCCAGAAATCTCACAGCTAGCAAGAATAATCCCTTGTGCACACCATCCCAGTACTCTGCATGCCAGTGCTATGATTCTTCTTGATGTTTGTAGGCACACATTGAATTCGGAACAAGGTATTGCATGCTTTACTCATTAATTACATGTTCACAAAAGACACTAAAATGTGAAGCTCAAATCCCCCTTGGACACACAGCATCAGGCCAAGGTGAACCAGGGGTGACGGTAAGCCGGTATGGGCCAGTACTGGCTTGTATCCAGGGGCTTGTGCCCCTTTTGCACCCCCCCGTCGGCAGCCCTGCTTAAAGCGCTGCCGTGGCTTTAACGTTGTTGCCCCTTTTGACCCCACCCCACCCCACCCAGCCACCATACTGGTAAGTCTTCGGCTTTACTTCCACCCCTGAGGTGAACCAATAACACTGCCCTACAGCCAAAATGCTTCTGAAATAAATGTAGTCAAACTTTACTAATTCTGGGTCACTGAGAACGAAAATGATGCTTAAAATTGTTGATTGGCTCTAGTTTTCAAGATATGCTATTGGGTCAGTATATATGACCCTTGACTTGGGATTGGTGAAGGATAAGTGAGTTATAAAGGGAAGGGATCTCAATTTAAACCAGAAATGACTAAAATACATCGTTGCCTGGATCTATGAATAAATCTATGACTGGGTTTGGACAGTACTTGCTTTTTAGGCAAAACAATGAATGATGCAATGAAGCTGGTATTGCGTCATACATGATATGAATTGCATCATGTTATTCCTAGAAGTCATGAATGATGCAATCATAACGAAGCTTACATCACTCTGCTGAACAAATTGCCCTATATCAGCTCTAGAAATCATACAGTGTCGTGCTCTCTTATTTGTCAGTGTTTGATTTTGCAAAGGGACACATTTCTGTTTAGCCAAAGTGAGCAGAGATGCCTCGTACTTGTGTGAATAGTGCACATAACTTCTGCTATGTTTATGGTGAAGTGACTTTTGCATCACAAAAGCGCAGTATAATCACTATGGTTAAGAAAGCCTATCACCTTTATTTTGGCTGCAAAATTGGAGATCAGGACAAGAGGTGGGCTCCACACATATGCTGCAACACTTGTGCAACAAATCTTCGCCAGCGGTTGAACAGGAAAAGGAAATCTATGCCTTTTGCAGTGCCAATGATTTGGAGAGAGCCAACAGATCATACCAGCAATTGTTACTTCTGCATGGTGCCTCCAGTTGGGAAAGGTGTGTCAAAGAAGAAAAAGTGGACTGTGCATTATCTAAACATTCCATCAGCTATACGCCCAGTACCCCATGGAGAAGGACTGCCGGTTCCTGATGCACCAGAATCATTCTCACGTGAGTCAGACGAGGAAGAGGATGAAACTTCTGGTCCTGAACCATCAGTGTCACAGGACCCACATTTTCTCCCATCCTCCTCCTCTGAACCATACCTCATAACACAAGGTGAACTGAATGACCTTATCAGGGATTTGGAACTACCCAAGAGTAAGGCAGAGCTGTTGGACTCCAGACTACAGCAGTGGAATCTCCTGGCAGGTGATGTTAGGGTTTCCATGTTCCGTGACCGTCAAAAGGATCTTGTTCCATTCTTCTTCATGGAAGGTGATCTTGTAGCCTGCAACAACATCGATGGTGTGATGGCAGCCCTCAACATCGTTCACGATCCAGATGAGTGGAGACTGTTCATTGATTCATCGAAGACGAGTCTTAAAGCTGTTTTACTGCATAATGGCAATGTTTTGCCATCAATTCCAGTTGGTCTTGCAGTCCATATGAAGGAAACCTATGACAACATGAAACAACCTATGACAACATGAAACATGCATCGTTTTGCATAAACGATGACCAACATCAGTGGCAGCTTTGTGGCGATTTGAAGGTTGTTGCTCTCTACTCCTTCTTTAGCCAGCTGAAGACAAAATGGAGGGGTCTCCCACAGGTTTAAGTAGACCCTCTCTTGTG